TATATATATATATATGATCTATCCATCTGTCTGTCTGTCTGTCTATATATCACGTGAAAATGCTGTGCCATTTCATTTTGGTTCAGTCCTGTTTTGGTGCTGGGGTTGACACAGGGCCTTGTGCTTTCTGAACATGAGCTCTGTACCTCAGCCCTCCTTTTGGTTTCGCTTTGAGTTTTCCCTTTGCTTCCTCCCCTATGTACAACTGCAGCTGTTTGATCTAATTTTAGGGGAGAGTCAATCTTTGAGTTTCAAATGGAAAAAACTTATTTTAGTGTTTTTTAATTAGGCTAATGAATATAGCCATGGATAGTTGCCCTTTTCTTTGTGTGTATGTAAGTGGAGAGACTTGAGATCAATTCTGTCAGCAAGTTTCAGGTGTTATTAACATAGTCATCATCCTGTACATGGGGCCTCAAGAACTTGTTCATCATGCTGAAAATGTGTATCTTTTCCTACTGCCAAGTTCCTAATAACTGCTATTATACTCAGTTACTGAGAGTTTGATTTTTTTTTTTCTTTCCAGATTTCACGTAAGAGTGAAATGGTATACAGTGTTTGTCTTTCTGTGCCTGGCTTATCAGGCTCAACCAGGTTGCAAATGATAGCATTCCTTTTTAAAATTAATTAATTTAATGTATTTGGTACAGGGTCTCACTATGCAGCTCAGACTCGTAGTGATCCTCCTGTTTTCAGCCTCCCCAGCTCTGGGATTACAGGCGTGTGCCATCATGCCTGGTCTTGGTGACTGGCTCAGCATGCCCAGGGGTGCGGCCAGTATGGCGTGTGGTGCCGGGGATTGAACCCAGTCCCAGTGCTTAGTCCACTGAGCTATCTCACTGGCCCTTCCTTTTTTTAAAACTAGTATTCCATTGATTATATCACATTTCCTTCTGTTATATATAGGATGTCCCTCTTCTGTTTTCATTATTTCTCTGTTCACAGTACGGCTCTTTCTGTGTACTGGCTATTGTGCAGAACGTGACTGTGCAAACCAGTGTGGGACAACCGGTGATCAGTGTAAAGGTAATAGCCGTTGTCTTCTTATCTCGGAAGGAACTGAAATACGACGTTGGTGGTGGAGAACGGTTTGATTCCTTGACTGATCTGGTGGAGCATTACAAGAAGAACCCTATGGTAGAGACGCTGGGCACAGTACTCCAGCTCAAGCAGGTGAGCATGTGGGAAAACTGAAAGTGCCTTCATGGAGTTTAAAAAATACTAATTTTTTTAAAAAAATTATTTTATTTTTTTTATTGAGAAATAAATATGAATGAGACAGTTTCACAGCTGATTAATAGGACAGATTTGATAATCAGTACACCGTACATTGTTATCTTTTTAGTGGTTATCCATGGTACAAGAAGCAGACAGGATATTCTATCCAAACACTGTTAGTACACCTCTTTCTTCTCATTGAATTAAGCAAAAGTAGCTGTAAATTTATCCTATTTTGTATATATAAATACAAAATGATCTTTCCTTTGTATCCTTTTTTTTTGTCCTGTCAGAGGTGAGTATTTTATTGGCATCTAAATACTATAGGTGTTTGAATTCACCTAAACTATCTAACACTGTCTAGCAGTCTATAATACTAGTGGGTTATCCTCAGAAGTTATTGACTTGAGCCTTTTACAGCTCATTGTATTAATAAGGATTTACTTTATATACCTTGTTTTTATAAAAAATACTAATTTTTTATTATTTTTTTTAATGATTTTTTTTAAATTTTATTTATTTATTTGTGTGTGTGTGTGGCCAGCTCAGCCCACCAGGGGGGCGGGCCGGCTGGCATGTGGTGCTGGGGGATCGAACCGCGGTCCCTGGGCTCTGCTAAGCTTGTTCTAAGTAGGTGCTTTAGACCACTGAGCCATCTCACCAGCCCCAAAAATACTAATTTTTTAGAAAACATTTTTTATTTTTTTATTTTAGAGAAGGGTCTACAGGTTATTCAGGGTCTCACTACTAGATTGGACTCGTAGTGATCCTCCTGTTTACAGCCTCCCAAAAGCTGGGAATACGGACGCACGCCACCATGCTCAATCTCAATTGCTGTCTCAGCGTACCCCGGGGGTGGGGCCAGCACAGCAGGCCCGGGGATTGAACCCTCATTTTTGTTTTTTGAGACAGTGTCTTACTGTGTAGTTTAGGTTGGCCTTGAACTCATGGCGATCCTCTTGCCTTAGCCTCCCAAGTGATGGGATTATAGGCATGTGCCACCACACCTGACATAAAAATGGTAATATTAAAAACCTCAAAAATTGTAATATAGAATTTTCTGGACATACAAAACATGTCAGTCATCTTTCTACCACTGCAGCAAGATATCTGGGAGAATTCTGGCTCTGAGAATAAACTGGGTTTCAGAGGTCCCAGTCCCTGCTTGACTGTGTGGCTTTGGGGATCTGGTGGTGCTGTACATCATGGTGGGAGAACATGGAGGCGGGGCCTATTCCGTCATGGTGGCAAGAAAGCAAAGAGGCACAGGAAAAGCGTGTGTACCCGATTCCTAGCTTGCTCCTACTATGCCCTGTCTACTGGAGAGCATCTCCCACATCCCAGTAGAGCCATGGCTGAGGAGCAAGCCACCAGGACTTGGGCCTGGTGACATTCAAGATCTGTAGTATTGTACCAGAGTAGACAGCATTAGTTTCCATGTCCCCACACCCATCTTCAGTTGTGATCAGCTCTTCAAGTCTTTATTACTCTGCTTATTGTTACTGCCTATGATATTTGTGGTTTGTGGGTTTTTTTTTTTTTTTTTTTTGTGGTACTGGGGATTGAACTTGGGACCTTATACTTGCCAGGGAGTTGTTTATGCTGCTGAGCTATCTCTCCAGCTCCTTGTTTTTTTGAGGCAGGGTCTTGCTTTGCAGTTCAGGTTGCCCTTGAACTCACTATATAGTTCAGGGTGTGTTTGAACTCAAGTTGTTCATCCTGCCTCAGCCTCCTGAGTACTGGGATTACAGGCACGCACCACTAGGCCCAGCATTCCTTCTGTGATATTTAGAGACAAGTTCCAGATACTACATCAGGTCCATGTGCCTCTGTAAAACTCCTTGAAGAGTTAGTTTTTTGTTTTTTGTGCTTGTTGGTGCTGGGGATCAAACCAAAGGCCTCAAGCATGTTAAACATGTGCTCTACCACTGAGATATTCTCACAGCCTCTCTACAGCATTGTGGAACTTTTGTTTATTCTTTTTCTTTTCAGACAGGGTCTCACTATGTAGTCCTAGCTGGCCCTGAACTTACAGTCTTCCTGCTTCAGCCTCCCAGGTCCTGGGATTATAGGAGTGCACTCCTGGCTCTCTTTACAGAGTTTTTAAAGAAAATTTTCACTGTAGGTCCGCATTTGGTTAGTTACCTGTAGGTGTTCACACTTACTATCTGTGGAGTTGTTATTTCAAAGTGTACTTTTTTTTTTTTTTTGGATTGATTGATTGATTAATTTAGTGCAGGTCTTGCTACACAGCTCAGACTCATAGTCATCCTCCTGGGTCAGCCTCCCCAGTGCTGAGATTATAGGCATGCACTACCACACCCAGTTTTGGGGCTGCCATGGCAAGCCTGGGACCTGGGGCCTGCTTGGCATGTGGTACCAGGGATTGAAATCAGGACCTTGCTGTTGCCAGGCAGATGCTTAGGCTGCTGAGCTATCTCCCCAGCCACAAACTGCAACCTTTTGACAGCAGCTGTTTTTTAATTTCTAAATCACATTGTGGTCTATGTATAACGAAAAATAGGTGAATTTCTATTAGTGAGGAAAGTATATGTGAAGATTGAAGAAAGATATATAGTATTTCCCAACAGGACAGAGAAGAAAGCCCAACTGGGTTTGAAAACTGTTGTGAATTGCTGTGTTCTGTGAATTTCCTGCCTTTGCCGTTGTGAATACAAACATGAAAGTCTCTTTTCCCCCTGTGTTCTAAAAAGCATTTTTTCTTCTTTTCCCACCACCTGCTACACTGGGATAGCCCCTCAACACAACTCGTATCAATGCTGCTGAAATTGAAAGTCGGGTTCGAGAATTGAGCAAATTAGCTGAGACCACAGATAAAGTCAAGCAAGGCTTCTGGGAAGAATTTGAGGTAAGTTATGAAGAAATTGTTGGAGAATGAGGTATAAAATCTGTTTTTGATGGCAGAGACATTGGTACTATGTTTGGACTTAGATCTGAAAGACCTGACATCCTTTCTTAATTTCTGCCATCGATATTTGTGGGGTGAGCTGCCGAAGGGGCTTCTTCAAAATAGAAGAGCATTGTGTTCTCAGGCAAGGAGCTGGCAGTGAGCACTGGCTGGACAAGCCAACAGTTACATTTGCCTCTTTTGGTTTGAACTGCTGGCAAAACCCCAAAAAACCAAAAAGATCTACTTCTTCTGGAAGATGTCCCAGCATTCACTGGGTCTTTAAAAAGACTTTGTAGCCTCATTACAGTGAAAGAGTCAAAGAGAAATACCTCCTGTTTGCTCATTTGATGGTTCAGATGGACAGCTTTGGGAAGTTCGGTAGACTGATTCCTCTCCTGACACCTACTCGGGTAGGAAATTGTCCCTGGTGAAAATGACCCATGTCCTGTTGGCCTTCTTATGTGTCTCTCACCCATCCATACTGCGTGCAGCCTCTTTCTAGTTGAAAGAGGGGAAACAGTGCTAAAAAGCTTCAGTGAGAGTTTCAGTGATAGCTGTGAGTTAGTTTTTTTTTTTACTTTTTTGGCATGGGGTGGGAACCCAGGGCGTCATGCTCTGAGTGCTCTGTTGCATAAACATCATGCGCTCAGGTGCTCTGCTGCTGAGCTGTATTCCCAGCCTCCCAGTTTTTTCCGAACATTTTGAAATTAATTAATTAGTTAATTAATCCATTTATGTATTTATTTATTTGGTGCAGGGTCTCACTATGCAGCTTGGACTCATAGTGATCCTCCTGCCTCAGCCTCTTGCATACTGAGGCAGGAGGACTGCTAGAGCTTAGGAGCTTGAGGCCATCCTGTTCAAGGTAGGAAGACCCTGTCCTAAACAAGCAAGAAGACAGAAAGTCAGAGTTTTTAGTTACATGAAAGACTTTTCCCTTAAAGTGATGATAAGGTTAAAAAAAAAAAAATTAGAACACGGAGGTGAATTTTTCATTTTTGGCAGAACTGGGGATTGAATTCAGGCCCTTGCACTTGCTAGGGAAGCAGTTATTCTACTGAGCTGTCTCCCCGGCCCCTGAGGTGAATATTTTTAAAAAATTATGGTAGTATTGTACATCACTGCATATTTATTTTCTTACCTTACTGGGGATTGATTGAGCTCAGGGAGCGCTGAACTGCATCCCCAGCCCTTTTTAATTTTTTTGTCAACACAGGATCTTGCGATGTGGTTCGGACTCGTAATGATCCTCCTCCTTCAGCCTACCCAGTGCTGGAATTACAGGCACAGCAGGCGGTACTGGGGATTGAATTTGGGACCCTGCACTTGCCAGGCAGGTGCTTAGACTGCCGAGCTTTCTCCTCGGCAAATTTTTAAATTAAAGAAAAATTTTTTTTTCTATATGTTTAGTACAGGGTCTACAGGGTCTCATTTATGTAGATTGGACCTTTTTATTTTATTTTATTTTTTTTTTGCGGAACCGGGGATTAAACTCAGGCCCTTGTGCCTGCTAGGCAGATGCTTATTCTACTGAGCTGTCTCCCAGGCCCTCATAGATTGAACTTTAGTGATCCTCCTGTTTTCAGCCTCCCAAGTGTGGGGATTACAGGCGTGTACCACCACGCCCTGCTCAGTGCACCCCAGGGGCGGGGCTGGCACAGCATGCTGGAACCCTGGCTACTATGCTATGCCTAAGCAGATGCTTTAGCCTGCTGAGTTATCTGGCTGACACCCAAATTTTTTTATTTTGAGATAGAGTGTCACTAAGTTGCTGAGTTGCCCAGGCTGGTTATAAACTTTTGATCCTGCCCCCTCAGCCCTGAGTAGCTGGGATTTCAGGTGTGGGCCACCATGCTTGACCCAAAATGAATAGCATTTTTAAAAATTAAAAATTATATTTAGGAAAATAAAAAATTATACAGTTCCTGGCACTATGATCGACTCTTTAACACCAGGTTCACTAAGAATAGTGCTTAGGGAAGAAAGTTAAAAATTTCCCAAGAAGCTTGTGGTTGTGGTTTCCTTGAAACTGGGCCTAGCTCTGTAGTCCAGCATTGCCTGACTCACAGTGCTCTTTTTGCCTCAGCCTCCCAATTGCTGGGACAGTAGGTGTGTGTCACCACGATGGCCTAAGCTGTGTGGGTTTTTCATGATCCACTTGGTGGTTAAGATGTGAGTTCACTTAACTCTTCTGGCCATGGAAAAAGATGGCAGTTAGGGATGCTGACATGGTGGATTTACTCTGTGACCTGTCACGTTCAGCCCATCCGTCATGTATCATTAATTACAAAATGGGGGGAAATTGAGTTGGCCTGCGGGAAATGGCAAACAGTGAGCTCACTTGTATACGTGCTCTGTGTAGAGGTCACGCTGCAGTGGAAAAATCATTGTGCACTAAATCAGGGCATTAAGGTTGCATGACTACGGAAACTCTCTGAAGAGCTTTTTACAGCTCTGCTGTACTTGTTTCTTTAGTTCAGTCAGTTTTTAAAAAATTGACCTTTTAAGACTGGAGCTAGGAGAATAAGGCTAAGAACAGAACAAACCATCTTAGGAAAAAAACCTGAGATACTTGGAAGCAGATAGTCATTATAATTTAAATCCCCTGGAACTGGAGTTTGATCCATAACCGGAAGGCATTATGATGTTAGTGATTGCATCTTAACAGTTTCTGTGGCAGTGATAAACTTGGGATCATACCTTCCTCTCACTGTGCTCTGATGGTCTTTAGAGCTAACTCTAGCTCTAAATTTTCATGCTGTTGGTACTTTAATTTTGCCAACCTTTTATTTTTTGATCTCTCTGTCCAGCTCCTGTTTTTTTGTTCATCTTTCCGTGTCATTTGAGGTACATTTTCCCAGAGGGCACTTATAAATTACTTTTGCTTTGGACACTTCTTAAAATATGAAGCTTTTTGTGCAGCTCTCTGATTCTTTTCTCCTATGGTGCAGAAATGAATTCATTTCTGTACAGTCAAGACTGAATTTGATCTGCATTGTCTTCGTGTTTGCCGTTGGTGGTTGTGCCATCACCTGGGTCTCTCGTGTATCTCTGCTTGTGAACGTGGAGAGGTGGCTCCTGAGCCTGGTGCATGCCTGCAGTCTCAGTTTCCTGGGAGATGGAGGATCACAAGTTGAAGGCCAGCCTGGGATGTACATAACAAGACCCTGTCTCTAAGTACATTTTTCTAAAAAGCCAGGATGTATTGCCCAGTACTCCTTAGGTTTAATCCCCAGTACTGAGGGGAGAAAAAAGGAAGAAAAGGTAACTGATTGGTTGAAGTAAAATTTGATTAGATGAATCTGGACAGTAATGGGTGAGGCAGGTTACAGTTTATAATTCTGTGCCTGTAACGTGCACTAAAACGTGGCTGCATTTACACAGCGTTCGCCCGCTGTGCCTTCTCTTGCCTCTTGTGTCCTCTGGGGCTGATCTACGTGGGCACCCTGTGGGCTGAGCCTGGGCACTGGAGTCTGACTGCAGGGCCTGCAGGAGCCAAATTGCAGGCAATGATCTGCTGCTGACATCATCAGGCCTTCCAGTCTCCAGCCACCCCGATCCTCCCATGCCTTGCTCGCCATATACCTGCTTCCTTCGCCTTTACTTTCAGCAGATTCTGCTGCTTGACTGACTCACCAACCTTACATCATGTCCCTTTCAGATCTTGAAACTAATGACTTTGCGTTGTTGTACCAGTGTTTTAGAGATGCTGTGGCTCAGAGGCCATCCATCTGTGCTCCACAGAGTGTGCCAAGAGCACAGTCTCGTAGAACGTGGAGGTCTGCTTAGACCACCCTGTTGGGGGCAACATAATTGTCAGAGACCATGATTATAGTAAGCTGGTAAACACACCAGAAAGACCTCCCTGCAGATGCTGCTGGTTGCAGTGATTTCCTGTATTTAGCAAGTAGTTACTGCACACAGGCTCTGTGCTAGATTTTGGAGAACAAATTAGTCTGATAGTTATGGAGGAGACAGTGAATAAAGAAGCAGCTAACTGTTCAGCGAGATACGGGTAAGTGTTATGGAAACAATATAGCAGGGTAAGATAGAGATAGTGTGTTAAGGGGATGCTACAGTTTTACATAAGCTTGACAAGGTAGATTGGAGTGGGGACCTCAGGAAGAACAGTGGCACAAGTAGCAAGTGTAAAGGCCCCGATGCAGGTGTGTGTACCCACTCTGGCACTCCAGCTGCCCGAGGGAAATGGGAGCAGGGAGTGGTGGAAGACATTATGGGCCTGTGGAAGGCCTTTGGCTTTTACAAGGGGGAAGATGAAAAAATGTGAAGTGTTTTGAGCATGGAGTGACATGAGCACACTGGCTGGACTAGGGCGGAGCAGGAACCCAGGAGGACTGAGCTGAGTGGAGCTGAGGGGGCAGGCAGCTGAGGCAGAGGCTGAGCTGGCTTGTGGAGTGGCTCTGAAGGGACACCCTGCAGTGTTTGAAGGGAGAGTTGGGAGCTGCTCTGGTGTGGCAGTTGCAGCGTGGCCAAGGGAATGAGGGTTAGCTTGAGCCTGTGGTGGACGCAGCTGCCATCCACCTCTAATGAGAAGCCTGGGAAGAGCAGGTGCCAGGAAGCCATCAGCTGCTTCACATGTGTTCAAGTCTGGGCTGCTTCTTCCTGTCCTGTCACAGTGTGATTTGGAGGTGAATTCCCTGGAGCTCCAGGAGGCCCTGTGCGAGGGTGCTCCGCCTTCCTCCGCCAGCCTCAGCCTGCCTCCGCCTGCCCTCTACCCTGCCCATCACCCTGTCTTCACTCTCTCAAGATGTTCCTGCTTCCTGCCCTTTCCTGGCTCGTGCTTCCTGTTCTCTGTGCACTTGGCACCGAATCCTTTCCTTGGTGCTGCTTACCATGCTTGGATTTCTTGGATGATTTGTGTGGCTTGTGGTTTTAATTCATTGTGGGTCTAGAGTGCAGAGAACATTAGTGGGCTCCTGGAATAAAGAGAGGTTCTG